TTCCCATTATAGACACATTTTATTATAAGGGACAGCAATATGGTGCATGGAGATGTATTCATTAACATTTTAAAGAAAAATTCATTGATGTAAGATGAGCTTTGTCAATTATTAAGTAAAGTAGTTAAAAGTCCCTTTGTACAGAGTATGGTTGAGGCCTGATGCTTTTTTTATCTAACTTGTAAATCTTCCCCAACATTTATGTTTCACAGCCAGTAACACACAAATCACCTTGTGAAATAAAATTTGAAAATGAATACAGGGTTTTTAAAGAAAGTACTTAAACTCAAGATGATCCTGTATAAACTTTAGACTGATTAGAATTTTGGATTCAGGCACTTTGATTTCCAACAAAAAACTATCTAAGTGTCTGTAATAAAGCAGGTTCCAGGAATATTATGAAGAGAATAAAATGAACACGATCAAATACATGTGTACAAGTAACAGAAATATCTTTATTTCATAATGATAAGGTGTGCTAGGGATTTACCTATTACTGTCAGTTTCTAAGTTCAATTTTTAGCTGCTTGGGCAGAGAGAAATGATTCCTTACTTATACAAAAGATAAATACAAAAGTAAAAATAATGGTGATACCACACTGTAAGATCACACCAAAGTCCTGGTCTAGTATCTAACAATCCTCAGAATACTTACATCTATGATAATCTACATTGTATACATTCAAGGAAAACAGCTATCGATTCAAACAAATCTCTCTACAAGCCTTTGAAATCAGTTTGCCATCACTCCAGAAGATTATGACAGAGAAATTAGGCCAAGCAAATATAGTCCTCACAGAACAATCGTTTTGGCATGCAACTTTTGTGAAAGCAAAATAATTAGTGCAATTTTATGAAATTGTACATCCATTTTACAAGGATGTTACTAACTATATGCAAAATTTCTGCATTAAAATTTAGAAACATTTATTTAAATCTGTATTCTTTACTCTTGAAGGAAGGGTAAGATTTAATGATCTTCCTAAATGGCCAAACTTATACCATGCAATTGTGGCTTTTGGACTTCAACAGAGTTTATTGTAAGGTAATAGTAAATAAGTGTCTATGAAGGTGACATGATAAATTCAGAAGACTTCTTGTCATATGCATAACAACAGATTAATAGCCATATATATTTGCAACATTCAATTTTTGTCATGCTCTCATGAAATTCTGTCACCTTCAATAATCACCAGAGATCATACTCATATACAAAGTCTACTTGGAGTGGCATCAGCAATTTTCATTTTTCAAGAGATGATGGGTAATCCTACAGGGATTGTCATAGTAAGAAATGACACGAGTTGAGTGTAATCAAAAAGAGATGATGAAAATATTTAGTCAGTTCGAAAATTTAAAGATTTAAAGCTCATGGTGTAAAACTAAGGAAGTCAAAATGTAGTTTCATGCAACCATCCACAAAGTACCTAGGTTTCCATGATGATGCTGTCAAAGCCAAGATGGAAGCATCTTACAGGCACAAGAACCACTAACATGTGAGTGAATACCAGTCTTGGTGAATCAATATTAGAAGTTCATTCCTCTTATAACACTACACCGTGGTCCACTGAACAGATGTATAAAAAAAAGTTTTAAGTTGTTTGTAAAAGAAAATCTCAGGCAGCATTATGACACTTGAAGGAAACTTTGACATTCAATGAAGTACAAGTGATCTAGCATAAATTGAAACACTAACTATAGAAGTTTGATCAGATGGTTTTAGTACATTTCTATTATATAACTGTGACATAGATAGAAAACTCATCACACACATTCCAGAACACTTATGGCAGATGAAAAAAATTACTACCAAATTAAAAAGAAAGTTTGAGCAATAATTTTCTTTGTTCAAAGAGCATTTGGTTCTGCACACTGTCCACAAACCTTTTAGAGCAATTTTTAGTCCGAAGAGAAGAATCTTGGTAGAACCTAGACTGAAACTTACGGATTTCTGCATATTCGTAAAACATCAGGTACAACTTGTTGAAACAGAATGTGTTAAGAAATGCATAGTTTTGCAAGTTAACCTAAATGATGAAATGCTGAGCTTTACTTGTGTAGTATTAACTATTCAAATCATGGTTGGCAGGCAACTATGACATTTTCATGTATTAACTCTTCTGTTTTTCACCAGTGTTGATGGATAGTTCTTTCTTTAGCTTGCCACTTTACGTTAACGAGGTGACTGACGAGGGTGTACAAGCACGAAGTGGATGTTAGATATAATTTTCTACACCTGTATGCATATAAGCTGCACAAGGGGATCCATTATGGTGGAGATTATTTTTGTGACACCTTGCATCTACTCACAAGACACTGGACACTTCATAACTGAGTACAGGATACAAACATAATTGCTGGATATTACTCAGACTTTTGCTGGATACTTAACTAGGACAATTTGGTAACTATACAAACAACCTAAACAGATCTTCTGAAGTCTTCATAAACAAGAATCACAGTAGGCTAGTTAATTATCTGTTAATTTATCTAAATTGTTATATATGTGTTTCAAATATGTTTGTTTGTTATTGATTTGGTTTGTAAACATTTATTTATTAAATCAAATTCCTGTGTTTCAGGAACAGGAAGTCAATTTCTTCTGAATGAATTACAAGTAAAGAGTTTTCTGACCAAGTTAAAGGAAATTGTTGGGAAGGGTAAAATACTATTATTTGTGGTAAGCCTTGTGAAAGAGAAAAACTCTTTAAAGCTGTTACCTTATTACAGGAGAAAGAAGGTTTCCAAAAGTCAATAAAATGAAACACACTTTGCTTACCATTCCAATACAACACTTTGCATGCTCATTAAAAATATGGTGAAAGTGATATTGAGTAAACCTGAAACAATTAATAAAAATTGTGCAGATTTTAACTGGAATACTTAATGACCCTTCACAATAAGACAAAAGTTACTCCTGCAGAACTGTTAATTTGGCTAGGATAAAATAGGAATAAAATGCACAATGGAGCTGATAAAAAAAAACAACTTAAAACCACAACTTCTAATTAATTTTTTTCTTTTTAACTACCACACTTATTGCTGAAACAGTGTTACAGATTTTGAGTAATTCTGTCAAAAAGAGAAAAGATGTGGTGCTTTGAAATATTATAATAATAAATACATTCTTCTTCATGTAACCATAGTGGTATACATATGACTTTTGAAAGTACTTAACGTACCTCAACAAAATTTGGCATGCTTTCAGTAAACATTAAACATCTTTTGTAGACAAACAATCTGTCAGTCAAATTGACCAACCCTGTATAAGAGTTATAATATTGAAAATGACATGCAAATTATAAAGTTTTTGTGAAAAAAACATTTGATATTTATTTAAGAGGTTTTAGGGATTATGCAAATGAAATTTGAAAATTTTCAGAAGAAGAAAAATATTTTTAATCTGAACATGAAAATCACTTTGTGCTCAGAGCAGTCAACACTCTGACACCATATAATTCTGGACAAAGTTTTAGTAAAAATACTTAATTAAAAATTCTTCATTACCAGCATACAAATATTGGGAAATAATTATAAACTAACCTTTTTTCTTTCTGGAAGGTCTGCAAAATGTAACAGTAACCATCAATTTATACTTTATTTTATTTTGAACTGTGTTTAACTAATAATCCTGCCACACACCTTGTAAATCACTTGGCGAATGTGTAGCTCACATTACCCTATCAAATTACTTAATGCACAGGCTACTCATGATCATATCTCACGAAAAATTTATTATTTTTTCGTTATTTTATGTAATATAATGCGTTTCTAATTTTTACATATTAGTTACATTTGTAATAATAAATAAAGAATACATATGAAAAACTAGAAATATAGTACTTACCTGGGTTTTCTTTACCCTACTTTTTAATACTAATGGTACAACTACAATAAATAACGTTTTATTAAAATAAGTAATGCACCTAAGAACACACAATAATAATACCTAAAAATCAGACAATGTCCTATAATTATCGTAATTTTTTTGGCTTTCTAACTATGCGCTAAGTCGTTAAAAATTCAGCTAAGCTCATCGAGGTGTTTCACATGGGAATAAAGTTTGAATTGGAAGTGAAATAGACAATTCTCTGTATAGAAAGTAACATATATCATTTGATAGATTTAAAACCTTGGCTTTCTGTTGGTTATAAATAATACTGTATTATTGAGAACTGTTGGCAATTTGTGAAAGAGAGGATTGTGAAAGACAAGAAGGGGTCTAATTTTCTAGCGTTTGGCTCTGAAACCAAATAAGATTGAAGGCTATAAGAATTATGTTTTGCCTGAGTAATAACTATATTATTATGAGTAATTTATGTTAAATTCCATACTTCTCGGAAAATGGTAAATAACTTAAGAGAAGATGGAAGATACAGAGATCAAATGTCACAGATCTCATACTACAGGAAATTAAGGATTTTTTTAAATGTATTTTTATTACATAAATTACTTAAACTTAGATAATATTAAAATTTGATTTATTAACTAGGTTTTGATGTTAAACGTATTTGTATAGATTGATAAAAAAAGTAGTTTGATTAAATTTTGAATGTAACTCTATAAAAAGGTTGTAACTTGCACACTTTGACCTATGTGATGCAAAAGGGTTAAGGTAAATAAAATAACCTATATCTCCAGAATGTATCTTTATTAGCTCAATATTTTTCTATTACAGGTTCATCAGGAGCTATTGATATCCAAATTCAAATGGATTATAGAACTTGTAATATCAGTAACTCCTAAGGAAGCTGTAGTAGTGAAATATTGAGCTAATAAAGATACATTCTGGAGATATAGGTCATTATTTTATTTACCTAAATAGATACATTATTATTATTGTGTTGTAAATGTGTGAACACTAAATATACAATATATATATATATATATATATATAAGATATGAAATTCTCCCTACAAATTGCATATATAATAGCCAGATTCAGGCCCAGTTGTGGTCTGGTTAGATTAACTTGAATAAACTAGTCAATACACATAAACACTTCATACTAAAAAATTTTAGTTAAAGTTTGGAATACACAACACTTGATTTTCTTTAATTCTTTTGTTTTTTGTTGTTTTTCAATTGAGGTTTGTTCATAATTTCTTTTGTTCGTTTTCTTTTTGTTTTGTTAGCAAACAGCTTCAACATAAAGCCTTGAGTCACTGTCCTTGGTGTAGAATTTCTATATACAAATGAATTCAATCCATCTTTGTAAACAAGTGTATTGGAATCATTCACTCCATTGAATAATGCACTTACTTGAAAGCCTTTAACAGTCTGAGGATCATTTTGATTTTCTGCTGCTTTGGGATCAAAAAGTTTTAAAATACCCCATAAATCATGATTGTTTTTAACATTATTTAACTCTAATTTCCATAATGCAGTGCGAATACATGTTGAGAACCTTTCCACTTCTTCACTACTAACATTCTTGCTTACATTTAACTCTTGCTCTAACGGGTTCTCAATATACAGTGGGCTGTAATCAGGTTTAACCATAGAATGTCCAGTGACCAAAGAAAGTCCTCTTTCTTTAAAGTTGAACTTTTCATAAAACAAGAAAAATTCTTTCAAGAGAATTTCTGTAAATAAAACAAACAAAAGTTAGGTGAGTTCTGAAATGAAAAACAGTTTCTGTTTTGTCTGTATTTGTTTGATCTGTACTTGTACTGAATATATCGAGTAATCAAATCCAACATTAAAATAAAATATAGTTATACTGAATATATACAATAATCAACATCCAACAATGAGAAATAATTTTCTGTCTCACTTGAAATAGTTACATCATAACATTTTGTTGAGTATCAACAGCTTTATTAACAGTAAATTATAGCTTTTCATGGAACTGCTATACTTTCTTTACATAAATTTAGGTAAAATCAAATTATTCTACTCTAACTGGCTCAAAAGTAGTAACACCAGCATAATCTTGCTAAACTCAGATAAACACTTGAGAATTCACAAGTAGTAGCACCAGTATCATTTTGTTAAACTCTTGATAAAAATGTGAGAGCTCACCATGAGTACTAACTGACTAAAACAAAAAATATTAGACATTTATAGTAGTAAATATTTATTGTTTAGGAGATGAACAAACATACCTAAATCTTCAGTATTTTCAGAAGGTGGACACCATAAACCTTTTTGCAAAGTATTCTCCATGTCATCAGGCAATGTTTTGTCACTTTTACCTGATAATAATTTAATTTTTAGTTAACAGCAGAATACACATTTCATTACTTCTAATGATTATACAACTTTTTTTTTATTTATTCTCATAATTACATAATAATGCTTATACTTGCTGCTCACCATATCAAGAGTTTATAACCCCTAGAAGGAATGAAAGACCAACATATCACAGCACATTTCAATCACCAAAATAGTGCAGAATTATATTATTAACTGATATTAAAGTTTCAATATGGTTTGTATGGTTTCACTCCTCTAAAGGTGTACTTTACTTCTGATTTAATTCTAAATATAAATTTCATATTACACAAAAATGATCACACTGTATATACTTACAAAAATGTCATACTAGACTGTAAGTGATATTAAAATTGTAAAATAATGGTATTATTCTGTCTATGCCTTTAGTTTATAAATATTTTTTGTCGAAGTTTAACTCAAAAGTACGTAAAAAAAATATTCAAGTAAAAATAATAATAACAATAAATAATTGGTGTTAAAAACAAATAAATAAATAATATGGTGCTATTAATCCTTACTGTAATTCTGATTGAAAAATAAAATTGATAACAGTGCACTTCACGTACTTAATTTAGTTCATTCCACAAGAATTGTTGTTCAAGGAACTGATGATATAAAAAGTGCCTAGATCATTACTGTGTCATACCCCAGTCAACCTGATGAGCCCCAGTATTGGGTGAAAGGCTTTGTCTGCACTGGTTATAGCCTTACATATAGGGTACTGTTTTGATACACATAACTACAGAAAATTTCTTACATTAATGAATTATGTTTCAAAAAAATAAAAATTATTAATAAACTTATGTAAACAATGAATTTGTATTTATTATGAAAATTATATTGAAAGATCTTACTATCATAGCTTGGAATGAAAAAAAATGTAGATTTGCATACATTTTATACAAACGTGTTTGTTATAGTGCTACTTTACAATAGTACTCTTAACATAATGCTTTAAAATACATATGAAATGCTTCTATTATTTGACAATATTTATAAATACTTAAGAACTATGGTGATTTATAGAAAGAAAGCGATCAAATATTACTGTTTTAAATGGTTGTTCTATCATCAAAACTAAGGAAACATTCTAAACAAAGGACTTTAAAACAGCAACAAACCAAACTTTTAAGCTTAACCATCATTTCACAACCAAGCACTTTGTATTCCCAGGTACCAGGAAGAATTGTTTAAAATAATCAACAACAAACAAACAAAAAAAAAAAAAAGAAGAAGAACTTTATATCTGATTTGTTGTACATTTTATTGAACAAATTGAAAAACTCTTTATTAAAGCAAGTCCATATGGTATGTACTAAACCTGATGAAGCCACAAAAGCAAAACATTGGTTGAAATAAAAAGTTATTTTATAATTATCTGGAGTATAAAGATTGTTTTTTTTCCCTAGCCTTTTTATCATATGGTGCATAGCATACCAACTACTCCCCCTATGACAGTTAAAGGGTAAGGTTGAGTAAGTAAAAGGAAAATGGGCTTCATTAATTCCTAGAGATGTTAATGGTTTTTATATTAGAATACCCCAGTTTATAAGAAATAAAAAAAATATACCCCTCAAATGATTCTACTTCACAGACAATTTTGTATACTATTTCACTAAAGAGTAAAACAAATCTAAATTCACCATAATACTATTACTTTCAGAATTACCTTATAACATCAACCTTATGCCTGATTTGGTTAAAAGATAGCCAGCTAAACACTGGAAAATAGAAATTTAAAAGCATTTTTTGTTATAAGCTGCCAACCTCCATGAATAGAATCTATGTGGCCTCAGTAACAGTGTGAGGGAAGATGCCATTTCAGCATTTGACTTTAATTCTCATTTTGATGAAAACATTATGTAAGTATACAAATGTAAACTAATAACCATTTTATCTCAGATTTAATACTTTGAAACTGTGTCGAGTTATGTTGTGAAAGAGACATATATTTTGATACTTTTAATCTTAATGGCACCTTATGCATCACACAGGTCAAAGATCACAGAGTTCAGGTATACACTTCAGTAGCACTTGCTGCCTACATGGCTACCTTTAGTCAAACAGTAGGATTGACAGTCATTTCCTATAAAGTGCAAAGCATGTTCAGTATATATTGAAGATTCAAACCCTGGACCTTTGGATTAACAGCCCAAGGACTCAGATAAATCTCCTCCATTACTGATTTTTATGAGTCATGTAGAGCTTTTGTTCAAGTTAGATGTTTGTGATGTCCAAATAGACTCTATGATTTCTTATGAATTAGAAAGTCAAATGACCAGTAGTTAAAAGCTAGAATATAATTTGAGAACCTCCTATCTTTTCTATTTTCTGAGATTTTATTATATTTAGTGAATCGACCAACATGGCCCTGCCCACCTCTTCCATTTTTGGAAATACATGCTTATGTACACCTACTTTGCCTAGTGAATGAGGGTATAACCAATTGAAAGCTCAGAATGTCCCTCACATGGTTTCTCAGCCTCTGCAAAGTGTTTATGTGGGGGAACCCTTTGTTTTCTGTGGTACTGGTATACTAATTTATGATTTTTTGTTATTTCAAAATGCATATATAAAACCTAAAAAAATTATTTTGTTTTACATCCTCCCGTGTAAAACTTGACAAGGTTTACTACATGCCACAAATCCACAGGGACTACTCGCCTCCTTGGACGTCGAATCATTATTTACCAATGTACCAGTCCAGGATACGATAGACATAATCTGCGACAATGTTTACAGATACCCAACCATGTCTCCACCCAAAATACCTGACGAAATAAT